AATGATAATATACTACTATGCTTCCACTTACATTGCACCCATCATCTTTAGCCTTTACACGTGAGTTTCATAAAGCCTCTAAACACGTATTATAATAACGAAGTAAAGAAATGGCTGCCGTGACATCCTGGGCGTGTCGTGACCCAATTTCAGATTGCAGGTTTATTTGGTCAGGCCTTTATAAGCTAGCTAGCTTTATAAGGACAGTCCAGTATCTCGGTATTAGTTTCGACGACCGACTCACCTTTGAGCAGCACATACAAGAAGCATGTCGAAAGGCGGAAGGGATGACCTCAGTATTGAACAAATTAATGCGAAACGTAGGGAGGCCCGGATCTCAGAAGAGATCAGTTATGTTACAATCAATATAAGGACATGCTCTGTAGGGCTCAAAGGAAACCTCTGACCAGGGTGTGCAGCGCGTACAGAACTGTATCTACAATTGCCTTACAAGTGGTGGCTGGTTCTGTACACGGGCACATCCGTGCCAGAGAGATAGCTCGAATGTATCAGAGGGGCAACGGGGCGGTTGGTTCAGGGCCACAAGAAAGAGCCAGAAGCTTGGAGATGTGGCAGAGGGAATGGGCAGCCGAAGTCGAAAAGGCGGCCTGGACTAGGTCCCTGGTCCCGGATGCAGTAAGGTGGTATGGGTGTTGGCATCGGCGCGTCAACTACTACTTCACGCAGTTTCTGACGGGGCACTGATCGTTTCGGAAACACACCCATAGAATCGGGATGTTTGGAGATGATCTATGTGCTAAGTGTGGAGTGGTGATCTATGTTGTGTTTGACTGCCCTGCGTACCACATGGGGCGAAACGAACTGCAACTAAGCCTGAGATCTCCACTAGGCGAGCCTCACGAGCTGATCGATAAAGCCAGCGACAACAAGCACGATTTCGAATTGATTATTGCTTTGTTACAAAAACCATAAAGCACAAGGAAGAGAAAGAGAGGCGGCTGCAGGTGGGATGACCGCTATATTTATTTATTGTTTTTAAAAATGTGTGTTATTTATTTACTTGTTTTATTGTATTTTATTTATTCAAGTTACTTTCGTTTTTACTATATTTTATCTATACCAATTTTAGCTGTTTTTTTTATTTTATCTACATTACTATTTGTATCTATTTTTATTTATTAATTAATATATTTTCTTTCATTGTAGGGGCCGCGGGATATGGGGCGGGAAAAGACTTTTTACATCCAATCCCGTCGGATGTCCCGATGCCCCGAAAATTAGTGAATGAAGGTATGAATGCGGGACTGAATTAATGGAAGTACGAATAAATGGTGTAAATATTAATTGCCAACTGGTTCTACTCGTTATTTCAATGTGAAAGGGAGGCGCAACCAAGTTGTCTCGTTTTCATAAGGATTGAGCAGGACAGTTGTTTCACCGACCAGTCTCGCCCGGGCCTTATGCGGGTGAGGGAGGCTGGGAGGCCGTCAAATACATGTAATGCACGCGAATGTGTGTCGAATCTGACACACATGGGTAAAGGCAGACGCCTGGGATCGAACCCGATCCCAGGCGTCTTTTAGAAGATTCCACCTCCCAAAAAAAGGAACAGGCACTGATTTTGATCCAGCTAAAACGACTGATTCTAAACCGGATGTTTCAGTATCTGCAAAGCCCTCTAACTATCAACCCAAAGAGACTCCTGAGCCTTAAACCAATACAAAAAATTCTTTAGAAATAGAGTCTGAGAATGTGACCAGAAATATAAAAATAAAATAAAAAACATAAGAAGAAAAAATGCATAAAAAAAATTGTAATAAGTAACAATGAGAGGTATGTTGTTCATGGATGACTAACAGCGAAACACAGTCATCTTCGTTTATAACATATCCGCCATACCCATACCAAAAGAATTTCGAGTATCAAGATGTATCACGAAAAGAAAAGGAAAAACCGCTATAATCACTTAATCACTTACAATAATGACCTATTGAAGTCACAACAAAACAGAGAAACTTGATCAAAGAAAAGGAAGGTCACCAAAAAACTCGTAATTATCTCTAAAACAAATCAAACTACAAAGGGTAAAAACATACAAAAAAAAACAAAGAAAGAAAGAAGTAGGAAGAAAAAGAAGAACCTGGGGAGTAGGAGGATGCTCAGTGCATTATTGTGGTTACTTTTGGTCGATAAAGAATGAATATTGTGCCGAAAATGCTGTGGTTGAGCACACTGCTCCTGTGCTGGAGAAAGACGAGAATGATGATTAAAAATAAAAAAACATTTTAAAGTCAGATAGTTTGAAAGTATTATAATAAACTGGACTAAATTTTAATTATATATATATATATATATATATATATATATATATATATATATATATATATATATATATATATAATATATATATATATATATATATATATTGTATTAAGTGCCCGTGCCCCCATAATCTAAAATAACAATACCGAAAGACAGAGAATTAGTATTATTGTTCTGAAGCTATTTTCTTGTGACATTTTAAATTAATTACCATTTAACTGGGAATAAGCCACAATTAAAGATAAAAATACGTTTATTGACGTTTTAATTTCGGGTGAGATACACCTGATTTGATTTCAATTTCAATACACCTGAGACTTAGGTGTATAGAAAACCAACACACACCAATATATATTTAAATTTCAAATCAAATCACAATATTAATGTAAAAAAGTGAATAATTAAATCCTTATACGATAGAGCCAAAATTACTTGTTCTAACGAAAATTCGTTCTTGGAGGAGAAACATTTGTTAACATCTGTTTAATTAAAAAATGATTATCCTTTATCGTTTATAAATAAGGAATTTTCAACAATCGATCGAATAGAACAGAACAACTTAGAACGAGATCCTACAGCATACACAAGGAATAATACGAGGAAAATAACAATACCGTACATAAAAGGATTATCAGAAAAACTTAAAAGGATAGGAAATAAATTCAACATTTCAACAAAATTCAAAACAACAAACACGTTGAGATCTATTGTGTCCAAAACCAAACCTAACAATGAACAAGAAAGGACAAAGAATTGCATTTATAAAATACCTTGTGAATGCGATCAGTTTTATTTAGTGGAAACATCAAGGCGATTAAATGTTAAAATAAGTGAACATCAATCTTATATTAAAAATAGAGAATTTGATAGATCTCAAATATATAGACACGCATGGGATAATGAACATAGGGTTCAATGGAATAATTCAAATGTAGTCCTAAAATAAACGGATGGAAAAAAAAATCAAAGAAGCGGCTCTAATTATGCTAAATGAGGTCAATTGTGTCGCAAATTCCTTGCCAGAATGTAGCAGGATCTGGTTACCAATATTGAAAGAGGAAGTTATTAATAAGAAAATACCAGTATTAGTAAGTCAGTAACATATAGAGGATACATCATTTATGTTTTTTAAATAACGAAACATATAAAATCAGAATTTGGTGTTTATTGAAGGTAAACTAAATGCACGAACAAATACTTACCATGTCGGGATAGTATTATGAGGTTTTTTTCCTGGTTTTCCCTCATAATTTACTATGGAATCACTAACAGGAGAATTTTACTGTCATCATGTCATGTGTTTGTCTTTTTAAAGACGAATTACATGCTATGTTTTTTTTTTCTGACGGATATTCTCAAGTTAAAGTTGATTTCATGTAATCGAATGAAATCTTATACGTAAAGTCGTTCCAGGAGCGCAACTCAACAATATTGGTAATATCATTTTAAAGTCGTCTACTTTAAAATGTATAATGTATGTCTGAATTTTCAATATAAATGAGTCAGATAAAATTAAATTATTAGAAGAATTTTCCACTATGTAACAAAAAACAAATATTGTTTAATTTACTGTTTGTATTTTGAGAACGATTTTCGAAGGATTTCCGAAGTGGAAATTGAAACGTCAATAAACGTATTTTTATCTTTAATTGTGGCTTATTCCCAGTTAAATAGTAATTAGAGAATTAGTAAATGGAATGGATATAAATAAACTTCAACAAATTTCTATTGATGAACCAACCTGCTGACCGTCTGATAAAACAAATCAGCGTCAGTGACTTAAAGAAAATAAAAAAAACATATAAATTGCAGCTTGTCGTGCGACTCCTGACTACGTGTTACCTCCAAAAAGAAACAAGGTGTCTCATAATTAAACAAAAAAAAAATCTAAAAAACTACAGCTACGGGAAGCTACTAAGAGAGCTACTAGGCTATTACAGAGAAATGAGGAAATATATATAGATGTATGCAGTAGATTAGGAGTGGGATGTGAGTGTGTTGTGTGATTAAAATATTTTCATGAAACTGAAAGAAAAATTCTATAAAACTCAAATGATAATGCTGAGAAAATTTCAACTAAAAACGTAAAACTATACGAATATGCAGATAAATAATCTAAAATGGGATAGTGTTGGTGTGAATATTAATTGTAAATTCTTAAATCACCTCCGCATCGCTGACGATATTGTTTTAAGCACTGACAATAAGAAGTGATGCGTAAAAAATGTTAGCAGTGTTTAGGGAATTAGCGATTAACGTAATTTAAATCGAACATTCCTATTTGTTCGAAGTGTGATCAATGTGTTTTATATGTGATCACATACGGCGCTGAAGCATTAACCTGGACAAAACATTAACATTCAATAAACAGACTTAAGTGGCACAAAGAAGAATGGAAACTGCGATAGTCGGAGTTACCAGGATAAAATATCGAACTATTTTAAATTACGTACTTCTACGTTATTATTCTGATAAATTGTTTATTCAATTAAAAAAGCATATTTATGTAACTTTTCACCTCACTCTTTAGTATCCTTAAAACTGTAGTAAAAAAAGTAGTAGCTGCTCTATGGCTTAATATATTTATGAAACCAGCTAAAACTCAAAATTCTGTGTCCTCAAAACACTGATCTACCACCACAGCATATTATGGTACATTCTATGTTTACCACTAACAAAGCCATACTAGTCAACATATCTGGTAATAAAAAAAAAACGAAGAGTAAATTTTTTATTAAAAATAATGTAACATTTCTATAACTAATACTATAATAACAACAATTTTCTCTTCCTTTATGTAGCTGTCTTGCATCCTGCATGATCCGGCCAGTCACAAACATTTAAAGTTGGATTGAAGTGAAGAGATCCCGGACATGTATGCTCATAGGGCACACCGTTTGAACATTGGCAAAACTTGGAACAATTCCTTAATGCAAAATAAACAGAATCTGGTCCATCAATAGCTGGGCATACTGTAGAACAAAATATTTATAAAATATGAAAAGACATATCTAATCTATATTACTTACCAACACCTTCCTTTTGGCACGAATTAGGCTTAGGCACAACTGGACCAGGATCACAGTCATCATTATTTGTTGGTGTAACAGTGGGGTCTGTAACTATATCTGAACCTCCGCATCCTGCATTCTGTGGCCAATCACAAACATTCAATTTTGGATTAAAGTGAAGACCATCTGGACAACTATGTTCATATGGCACTCCGTTGGAACATTGGCAGAATTTAGAACAATCGCTGAGTGGGAAATAAACTGAATCGGGTCCATCAACTGCTGGGCAAACTGTGAAAAAATGATTAGAATCTCGAACAATAAGGTGTATATTAGTTTACTTACCGACACCTTCTTTTTGACATGCGTTAGGAGCTGGGGTTGGATTTGTGTTGTTTCCACTATCTTGTGTTGGTGTAACAGTGGGGTCTGTAACTATATCTGAACCTCCGCATCCTGCATTCTGTGGCCAATCACAAACATTCAATTTTGGATTAAAGTGAAGACCATCTGGACAACTATGTTCATATGGCACTCCGTTGGAACATTGGCAGAATTTAGAACAATCGCTGAGTGGGAAATAAACTGAATCGGGTCCATCAACTGCTGGGCAAACTGTAAAAAAATGATTAGAATCTCGAACAATAAGGTGTATATTAGTTTACTTACCGACACCTTCTTTTTGACATGCGTTAGGAGCTGGGGTTGGATTTGTGTTGTTTCCACTATCTTGTGTTGGTGAAACAGTGGGGTCTGTAACTATATCTGAACCTCCGCATCCTGCATTCTGTGGCCAATCACAAACATTCAATTTTGGATTAAAATGAAGACCATCTGGACAACTATGTTCATATGGCACTCCGTTGGAACATTGGCAGAATTTAGAACAATCGCTGAGCGGGAAATAAATTGAATCGGGTCCATCAACTGCTGGGCAAACTGTAAAAAAATGATTAGAATCTCGAACAATAAGGTGCATATTAGTTTACTTACCGACACCTTCTTTTTGACATGCGTTAGGAGCTGGGGTTGGATTTGTGTTGTTTCCACTATCTTGTGTTGGTGTAACAGTGGGGTCTGTAACTATATCTGAACCTCCGCATCCTGCATTCTGTGGCCAATCACAAACATTCAATTTTGGATTAAAGTGAAGACCATCTGGACAACTATGTTCATATGGCACTCCGTTGGAACATTGGCAGAATTTAGAACAATCGCTGAGCGGGAAATAAACTGAATCGGGTCCATCAACTGCTGGGCAAACTGTAAAAAAATGATTAGAATCTCGAACAATAAGGTGCATATTAGTTTACTTACCGACACCTTCTTTTTGACATGCGTTAGGAGCTGGGGTTGGATTTGTGTTGTTTCCACTATCTTGTGTTGGTGTAACAGTGGGGTCTGTTACTATATCTGAACCTCCGCATCCTGCATTCTGTGGCCAATCACAAACATTCAATTTTGGATTAAAATGAAGACCATCTGGACAACTATGTTCATATGGCACTCCGTTGGAACATTGGCAGAATTTAGAACAATCGCTGAGCGGGAAATAAACTGAATCGGGTCCATCAACTGCTGGGCAAACTGTAAAAAAATGATTAGAATCTCGAACAATAAGGTGCATATTAGTTTACTTACCGACACCTTCTTTTTGACATGCGTTAGGAGCTGGGGTTGGATTTGTGTTGTTTCCACTATCTTGTGTTGGTGTAACAGTGGGGTCTGTTACTATATCTGAACCTCCGCATCCTGCATTCTGTGGCCAATCACAAACATTCAATTTTGGATTAAAGTGAAGACCATCTGGACAACTATGTTCATATGGCACTCCGTTGGAACATTGGCAGAATTTAGAACAATCGCTGAGTGGGAAATAAACTGAATCGGGTCCATCAACTGCTGGGCAAACTGTAAAAAAACGATTAGAATTTTGAACAAGAAGGTGTATATTAGTTTACTTACCGACACCCTCTTTTTGACATGCGTTAGGAGCTGGGGTTGGATTTGTGTTGTTTCCACTATCTTGTGTTGGTGTAACAGTGGGGTCTGTAACTATATCTGAACCTCCGCATCCTGCATTCTGTGGCCAATCACAAACATTCAATTTTGGATTAAAATGAAGACCATCTGGACAACTATGTTCATATGGCACTCCGTTGGAACATTGGCAGAATTTAGAACAATCGCTGAGTGGGAAATAAACTGAATCGGGTCCATCAACTGCTGGGCAAACTGTAAAAAAACGATTAGAATTTTGAACAAGAAGGTGTATATTAGTTTGCTTACCGACACCCTCTTTTTGACATGCGTTAGGAGCTGGGGTTGGATTTGTGTTGTTTCCACTATCTTGTGTTGGTGTAACAGTGGGGTCTGTAACTATATCTGAACCTCCGCATCCTGCATTCTGTGGCCAATCACAAACATTCAATTTTGGATTAAAATGAAGACCATCTGGACAACTATGTTCATATGGCACTCCGTTGGAACATTGGCAGAATTTAGAACAATCGCTGAGCGGGAAATAAATTGAATCGGGTCCATCAACTGCTGGGCAAACTGTAAAAAAATGATTAGAATCTCGAACAATAAGGTGCATATTAGTTTACTTACCGACACCTTCTTTTTGACATGCGTTAGGAGCTGGGGTTGGATTTGTGTTGTTTCCACTATCTTGTGTTGGTGTAACAGTGGGGTCTGTTACTATATCTGAACCTCCGCATCCTGCATTCTGTGGCCAATCACAAACATTCAATTTTGGATTAAAGTGAAGACCATCTGGACAACTATGTTCATATGGCACTCCGTTGGAACATTGGCAGAATTTAGAACAATCGCTGAGTGGGAAATAAACTGAATCGGGTCCATCAACTGCTGGGCAAACTGTAAAAAAACGATTAGAATTTTGAACAAGAACGTGTATATTAGTTTACTTACCGACACCCTCTTTTTGACATGCGTTAGGAGCTGGGGTTGGATTTGTGTTGTTTCCACTATCTTGTGTTGGTGTAACAGTGGGGTCTGTAACTATATCTGAACCTCCGCATCCTGCATTCTGTGGCCAATCACAAACATTCAATTTTGGATTAAAATGAAGACCATCTGGACAACTATGTTCATATGGCACTCCGTTGGAACATTGGCAGAATTTAGAACAATCGCTGAGTGGGAAATAAACTGAATCGGGTCCATCAACTGCTGGGCAAACTGTAAAAAAACGATTAGAATTTTGAACAAGAAGGTGTATATTAGTTTACTTACCGACACCCTCTTTTTGACATGCGTTAGGAGCTGGGGTTGGATTTGTGTTGTTTCCACTATCTTGTGTTGGTGAAACAGTGGGGTCTGTAACTATATCTGAACCTCCGCATCCTGCATTCTGTGGCCAATCACAAACATTCAATTTTGGATTAAAATGAAGACCATCTGGACAACTATGTTCATATGGCACTCCGTTGGAACATTGGCAGAATTTAGAACAATCGCTGAGCGGGAAATAAATTGAATCGGGTCCATCAACTGCTGGGCAAACTGTAAAAAAATGATTAGAATCTCGAACAATAAGGTGCATATTAGTTTACTTACCGACACCTTCTTTTTGACATGCGTTAGGAGCTGGGGTTGGATTTGTGTTGTTTCCACTATCTTGTGTTGGTGTAACAGTGGGGTCTGTAACTATATCTGAACCTCCGCATCCTGCATTCTGTGGCCAATCACAAACATTCAATTTTGGATTAAAATGAAGACCATCTGGACAACTATGTTCATATGGCACTCCGTTGGAACATTGGCAGAATTTAGAACAATCGCTGAGTGGGAAATAAACTGAATCGGGTCCATCAACTGCTGGGCAAACTGTAAAAAAACGATTAGAATTTTGAACAAGAAGGTGTATATTAGTTTACTTACCGACACCCTCTTTTTGACATGCGTTAGGAGCTGGGGTTGGATTTGTGTTGTTTCCACTATCTTGTGTTGGTGAAACAGTGGGGTCTGTAACTATATCTGAACCTCCGCATCCTGCATTCTGTGGCCAATCACAAACATTCAATTTTGGATTAAAATGAAGACCATCTGGACAACTATGTTCATATGGCACTCCGTTGGAACATTGGCAGAATTTAGAACAATCGCTGAGCGGGAAATAAATTGAATCGGGTCCATCAACTGCTGGGCAAACTGTAAAAAAATGATTAGAATCTCGAACAATAAGGTGCATATTAGTTTACTTACCGACACCTTCTTTTTGACATGCGTTAGGAGCTGGGGTTGGATTTGTGTTGTTTCCACTATCTTGTGTTGGTGTAACAGTGGGGTCTGTTACTATATCTGAACCTCCGCATCCTGCATTCTGTGGCCAATCACAAACATTCAATTTTGGATTAAAGTGAAGACCATCTGGACAACTATGTTCATATGGCACTCCGTTGGAACATTGGCAGAATTTAGAACAATCGCTGAGTGGGAAATAAACTGAATCGGGTCCATCAACTGCTGGGCAAACTGTAAAAAAACGATTAGAATTTTGAACAAGAACGTGTATATTAGTTTACTTACCGACACCCTCTTTTTGACATGCGTTAGGAGCTGGGGTTGGATTTGTGTTGTTTCCACTATCTTGTGTTGGTGTAACAGTGGGGTCTGTAACTATATCTGAACCTCCGCATCCTGCATTCTGTGGCCAATCACAAACATTCAATTTTGGATTAAATGAAGACCATCTGGACAACTATGTTCATATGGCACTCCGTTGGAACATTGGCAGAATTTAGAACAATCGCTGAGTGGGAAATAAACTGAATCGGGTCCATCAACTGCTGGGCAAACTGTAAAAAAACGATTAGAATTTTGAACAAGAAGGTGTATATTAGTTTACTTACCGACACCCTCTTTTTGACATGCGTTAGGAGCTGGGGTTGGATTTGTGTTGTTTCCACTATCTTGTGTTGGTGAAACAGTGGGGTCTGTAACTATATCTGAACCTCCGCATCCTGCATTCTGTGGCCAATCACAAACATTCAATTTTGGATTAAAATGAAGACCATCTGGACAACTATGTTCATATGGCACTCCGTTGGAACATTGGCAGAATTTAGAACAATCGCTGAGCGGGAAATAAATTGAATCGGGTCCATCAACTGCTGGGCAAACTGTAAAAAAATGATTAGAATCTCGAACAATAAGGTGCATATTAGTTTACTTACCGACACCTTCTTTTTGACATGCGTTAGGAGCTGGGGTTGGATTTGTGTTGTTTCCACTATCTTGTGTTGGTGTAACAGTGGGGTCTGTTACTATATCTGAACCTCCGCATCCTGCATTCTGTGGCCAATCACAAACATTCAATTTTGGATTAAAGTGAAGACCATCTGGACAACTATGTTCATATGGCACTCCGTTGGAACATTGGCAGAATTTAGAACAATCGCTGAGTGGGAAATAAACTGAATCGGGTCCATCAACTGCTGGGCAAACTGTAAAAAAACGATTAGAATTTTGAACAAGAACGTGTATATTAGTTTACTTACCGACACCCTCTTTTTGACATGCGTTAGGAGCTGGGGTTGGATTTGTGTTGTTTCCACTATCTTGTGTTGGTGTAACAGTGGGGTCTGTAACTATATCTGAACCTCCGCATCCTGCATTCTGTGGCCAATCACAAACATTCAATTTTGGATTAAAATGAAGACCATCTGGACAACTATGTTCATATGGCACTCCGTTGGAACATTGGCAGAATTTAGAACAATCGCTGAGCGGGAAATAAACTGAATCGGGTCCATCAACTGCTGGGCAAACTGTAAAAAAATGATTAGAATCTCGAACAATAAGGTGCATATTAGTTTACTTACCGACACCTTCTTTTTGACATGCGTTAGGAGCTGGGGTTGGATTTGTGCTGTTTCCACTATCTTGTGTTGGTGTAACAGTGGGGTCTGTAACTATATCTGAACCTCCGCATCCTGCATTCTGTGGCCAATCACAAACATTCAATTTTGGATTAAAGTGAAGACCATCTGGACAACTATGTTCATATGGCACTCCGTTCGAACATTGGCAAAATTTAGAACAATCGCTGAGTGGGAAATAGACTGAATCGGGTCCATCAACCGCTGGACAAACTAGAAAGCGAAATGTTATTTTTTTCTAAAAAATGAATAATTTTATTACGTTACTAACCAACCCCTTCTTTTTGACATGAATTAGGATGTGGAGCAGTTGGCTCTGTTGGTGTAGACGGTGTGGTGACAGTAGGGCATGTATGAGTTTCTGAGCCGCTACATCCTGCATTCTCTGGCCAGTCACAAACATTTAATGTGGGATTAAAATGAAGGCCGTCGGGACATTTGTGTTCATATGGAACACCGTTTGAACATTGAC